GACTGGTTTTGAACTCAAATGGCAACTCTTCCCTGGGTCCCTAGCCTAATGGCCTACCCTGCAGATGTTGGGCTTGCCAAGCCTCCACCATGGCATGAGCCAGTTCTGTATAATAAATACCTGCCCATCCATCCATCCGCCCACCCACACATCCTGTGAGTTGTTTCTCTGGAGAACCCTGACTCTTACAAGGTGTCTCAGGGCAGTGGGCATGGTGTGGTTCTGAAGTTGGAGCAAGAAGAAACCTGTAGATCGTCCCATCCAGTGGTTTTCAAACTTTTATTTTTGCAGCCTATCTCTCTTTCAGATGAGCTCAATGAGGAATCTCAATGATATTCGTTCATATTTATTTAATACTTGTTATATGCCAGGCCCTGTTCCGAGCACTTTGTTATCTCATTTAATCCCTGCAGTTGCCGGAGGAAGGAGTCCTGCTGCGTGTCCCATTTTAAAGGGCAGGTAACCAAGGCTCAGAGAGGTGGAGCAATCTGCCCAAGCTCTTACTGGTAAGGGGATTTAAAGCTGGGATTTAAATCCAGGACGTCTGAGCCAAGTGCAAGACCACCACACCATCCTACCTTTGAATATATTTAACTCCTAAAACCTGAGCTGCTTTGGTTGAAGTGTGCAGGTGTTTCAAGGCCTCAGCCCCTGAAGCTTTTCCTTGGGTTTCCCCTTTTCCCTTTCCTGTCAGGCCTCTAAAGTAGCTCCAAAGAACACAACTCCTTTCAAACCCATTTGGAACCTCTGATCTAGTCCAGCTCCTCCTTTAGAGAAATGGAAAAGCCAGTCCCAGAGAGGTTAAGTGTCTCACCACAGTCACACAGCAAGGCTGCCTCTGATGACTCCAAGGAGGTCCTCAGACACAGGGGAGAATCTGGAACCCCCGGTGAAGTAAGAGGAAGAAGGAAGAGCTCCTGAACCAAGGTTTCTCCAAATCCAACCAGTGAGGGCTTCTGGGTAGACTTGTCCCATTAAGGGCTGGATTGTCCTCCCCAGGTACATCCCACTCTGAGGAAGCTTCCTCCATCTTCCAGGCTGACTAGAGGCATTGAGAAAGGAAGTAGTCTACGTCTGGGTCCCAGACCAGGTCCAGATGGCAGCTCTTGGGCCCTTGAGCTGGTATTCTGGTCTCTTCCATTGAGTTTCAGCCTAGTGGGAGGCTAGTGCCCTTGAGCAAGGCCCTAGACCCCTTAATGCACTGCCCCCAGGACCTGTGGGAAACCCACTGTTTGAAGTAAGGAACTCCTACACATCCCTCAAGACCCAGCCTACATATGCCCACCCTGCTAAAGCCTGACAGGAACATCTCTGTTAAGTCAGAGACAACCTTTCTTGCATACCTCTGTGTCAGCTTTGCCACCGTGTTCTGAGATCGGCTGGTGGCATGTCTGTCTTCCCAGGTCAGGGGCTGGGTCTTGGCACCCGTACCTGACACAGCATCCAGCCTAGAGGGCGCTCAGTTCATCACTGTGCCTGCAAGTGAATCAGCACCTGCACTGGGAGACTTGTCCAGCCTATGCAGACTCCAGCAGGGAGTTTTCAGGCCCTCCCACTGTCTGGCCCAGACCCTTGTCTGTAGATGAGGAAACTGAGGCCTGAACAGGGAAGTGACTTCTGAAGTCACAACAGCTGTGTGAGTGACAAGGCCAGAAATAGAGCCCGGGCACTGACAAAGGCCCTGGGCCATTGTCCCATCCACCTCTGCCCCACTCACACTAGTACTCATTTACAGCCACACACAGAGCCTTGGTGTTCCCCACCATAACCCCCTACGGGGCAAGGACAGGGTTTATTATTAACCCCGTGGTGCATGGGAGGAAACAGGCTCAGTGAGGTAGAAGACTGGCTGAGGACTCACAGTGACCTCATCGCCTATATATATCTGTCATACTTACACCCACATGTCTCACCACCTTCGTTCTTCATCTGCCTCGTTGGTCCTTGAGTCCTCTCCCTTCCCTGCCTGGTCTCTCACCTCACCCCCTCAGCCATATTGCATTAAACAGTGAAGTGCAGGAGGGTGAGAAGTGGAAGAACCATCGAGGTTATGGAGCAGGGTGGCCAGAGGGGACTGGACGAATGCCCCAGCCTCTCAAGTTCTAGCAAAGTGTTCTCGCTGCCCCCGCCTGCAGCCACATTCCCCTCAGCAGCGCAAGCTTTGGGAAGACTATAAATCCAGAGCCTAGACGTTCTATACACCCCACCCACCCATCGCCCCTGGCTGCTAATCCAGAGGGTTACCACGTGAGAGCCCGAGACTTGAAATGAAGACTGGAAGAGGAACCAACAAACCCTTTGGGTTGGGCTTGGTAAATAAAATGTGGCTTGGATTTTAGTCCACGGCTGCCCCCTCAACCAGGGAACCACTCTTACCTGGTAGCCCTGGATGAATGGACCGACAGAGGGAGGGAAGGAAGGAGGAAGAGGTGGATGGATAAGGGGCCTATCCATCTCATACCACCACAACCTCATGGTTCCAAAGCACAGAGAGTGGGCCCGCTCGTTCAGCTCCTACCAGTAAGCCCAAGTGGTCCCAACCCTGCCCCCAGGCCTGGTGACCCCGGCCCTCTTACTGACGACCCTCCCTTGCTGGGCTCACCCCTGGCCCTTATGTGGCCCAGTCCTGACACCTGGTGGTGCCTCTGGAGTGTGGCCCTGGCTTTCTTCCCACTTCTCACTAACTCACCCAGAGCTGCCAAACCAGCCTGGCAGCTCACTGGCCACCTCACCTCCACACCAGGTTAACACCCGGCAGAACCAGGTGAAACTGGGGGCATCCCTGCTCACCTTGGGAGCCTTCCATTCACCTGGGTCAAATTCCCTCCTCAACCTGGACCCTCGAGCCAGGTCAACTGGGAAGCGTAGGACTACAGACTATCACAGAACATAAGGCCAGAAATGTGCCGGTCTCACAGTGAGTGTGCTGGGACTTCCTTCTACCCCACCCCTTGCTGCCTCCTTTCAGCACAGCTGTGGGAGTCACTGGGGTGAAGGGAAGGCACACTGGGGAAGGAAGGAAGGAAGGAACTGGGGGGAGGGTCAAGGGCTAACTTAAGCAGGTTCTCGGGTGGGGTGGTGATACAAGCAAAATACAAGAACCCACCCTCAGCAATTCCTTCCAGACTTCACCCAACTCCCACCCTAAACCACCGCCTGACCAGCCAGAACTCTTAGGAGGAGGGTGACACCATGTGGCTGATTTTGGTATTGCAAAAGTTCCCATTGGCCCCTACACTCAACCCCTTCCATTAAAGGCTTTATAGCCCTTTGCCTATGGAATGCCCTCCACATGCACAATCACACACACACACACACACACACACTCACACACTTCGATACACCCACTTCACCCTCCGACATCAGCTGAAACTCCTGGTCAGAAGCCTTCCCTCCTCCAAAGAGCATACACCCTGAAAACCCCACACTGGCCTAGCAGCTGTGTGCCTTGCCAAGAGATTTACTTACTCTGAGCCTTGGTTTCATCTGTAAAACAGATGCCATGAGCAATATATGGGAGCATGCATGCAAGCCATCTAATTTTAAGTGCTTCAACAATTGTTCACTAGGCTCTGCTGCCCAGCCTCCCAGCTCCACTAGGACGCTGATATGAAGGGAAGAAAGGAGAGTCCAGGTGGAGTAAAGGTGCCAGGGCAGGCAGGAACCCAGCCCCTTTGGCATACCTGGCATACTTGGCATTTCAGGAACTCTGCAAGGTGCAGCTGGTTTAAGTATGGACTTGGGGGATGAGGAGAGATGGGTCGGAGAGCTGGCAAGGGGTGGGTCCTGCCAGGCTCGCAGCCATGGGAAGGGGTTTGTCCTTTGTCTAGAGCAGTGGTTCGCAACCTTCCTAATGCTGCGACCCTTTAATACAGTTCCTCATGTTGTGGTGACCCCCAACCATAAAATTATTTTTGTTGCTACTTCATAACTATAATTTTGTTACTGTCATGAATTGCAGTGTGAATATCTGATATGCAGGATGTATTTTCATTGTTACAAATTGAACATAATTAAAGCATAGTGATTAATCACAAAAACAATACGTAATTATATATGTGTTTTTCGATGGTCTTAGGCGACCCCTGTGAAAGGGTCGTTCAACCCCCAAAGGGGTCGCGACCCACAGGTTGAGAACCGCTGGTCTAGAGGGTAGTGGGGGCCCAAGGCTTTACCAGGGAACTGACATAACTAGGTCTATATTGAGTCCCCCTGCAAGCTGCCAGGGAGGGTGGATTAGAGAGGTGGGTCAGGAAACAGGAGGCAAAGGGGCCACAGTCAGTCGTCCAGGCGAGAAATGCCGGCAGCCTATAGGGCTGCAGAGAAGCTCAGTGACTCAGTTGACTGATGGGAGATGGGGGTGAAGGAGAAGGAGGCATGTGGGGGAGGGGGGGAAACTGGGTGGGTCATGGTGTCAGTCGCCGAGATTGGGTACAGGGGTCTCCTGCTGATTTCACTGTGTGATGTGGGCCAAGACACTGACTTCTGGCATCAGTGACAGCCAAACACCAGGCTATTCTAGGAAATCATGAGAACAATGATTGAAAAGCCTGTCAGCCAGCAGCCTCCCCCACCACCACCACCCCTAAGTCTGATTGGGGCCTCTTAAACTCACCCCTGAGCTGCCACAAGGGAAGGACTGTGGCTTGGTGTCTTTGTAGGACTGCCGGTGCCAGGCACACAACACTCACACACCTTCCACACACCATCCATGTGCCAACTCCACGTGCCCCCCACACAGCTTCCACATGCCATTCGCTCATGTTACACCAGTCATCCATGCACAGGCTACATGCCACATACCAGCCACACACATCCACATGCTTGCCATCCTGTGTGCTCTGCATCACCCCCCAAATGAGAACCAGGCACCAGGTGGAGACCCCAAAGAAATCCGCAAAGCCAAGTCCCAGCCTGACTGGGTCTTGGCTTTCTCATTCCCAGGCCATCTCATTCCCAGGAAGACATGCCCCCACCCCCCTGCCCCATTAGCTGCTCACCTTTGCAGGTGCAACCCTCCCGGGTGATGACTTGCCGGCAGATTCCACAGGGCTTCACCTTCTTGAAGGTCTTCACCTTGAAGTGGTGAGTCTTGGGGGCCTCCAGATCCTCTGGCTGTGGGAGAAAAGGCACAGTGATCAGCCCTGGCGGCAGGCTGGGGTCCCAGGAGAGGAGTGAGGGGGGTGGGGAAGACATAGGCAAGGACTAGGGAAAGGGAGAGGCAAGAGCCCTTTCGGGTGTCATAGGCCTGAGCCTGTTTCTGAGAGGAGGTGCCCAGGGAAGGAGAAAGCTGTGGGTGGGACCCAGACTCCCAGGTGGGGTCAGTGTACTGAGACCTAGAAGACAACTGCAGACCCCAGCAGCTGGGGACCACAGGCCCCTCCATGGTTTCCTAATCACTTTTTTTAATTTGCCTTATTAACAAAGTACACTCATTTAAATGTATTGCTCGATACCAATTTTACACATGTATGCCCCATGGACCATACCCCAGAAGGTTCCCTCATGGCCATCCCGTTCACTATCCTCCCCAGGTAAAGACCAAAGATTCACTTTGACAGACTTTTAAACTTCACATGAACGGAATTATACATATGTACTCGTATGCCTGGCCTCTTTCGCGCAGTCCTATTCTGTGAGGCTCACCCGTGTGGTTGGTTACACAGAGCAGTAGCTCCTCCTTTTCATTGCTGTGTAGCACTCCATTGACTAGAGCTTATTCCTTTATCCATCTACTGTTGATAGTCCTTAACTTTTTATATATATATATATATATATATTTTATTGATTTTTTACAGAGAGGAAGGGAGAGGGACAGAGAGTTAGAAACATCGATGGGAGAGAAACATCAATCAGCTGCCTCCTGCACACCCCCTACTGGGGGTGTGTTCACAACCAAGGTACATGCCCTTGACTGGAATCGAACCTGGGACCCTTCAGTCCGCAGGCTGACGCTCTACCCACTGAGCCAAACCGGTCACAGCAATAGTCCTTAACTTTTACCCGTGTGCACAGAATGCCATGCCCCTCAGTTCTCTCTCACCCTCACTACCATCCCCTGCCCCAGCCCAGAAGTCTTCTTCCACCTTTATTTTTATTTTCGATTCTTTATATTAGGAAGATCTCAGTATGTTAAATATTCTATTTAAAGCTATACCACCACACACATCATATGAGAGGCAGGCTAGCAGTCCAAGCCTTCTCTATATCTGACCTACCGTGAGCTCCTGGACCAGTCAATCACCCTCCCACCAAAACCGGGGGCATCATAAGGTGGGGCACCACACCCCTCGAGCTCTGACAGTCTGTCCTTTGTAACAACATATAGGCACACACCCTGGGAGCAAGCCCTGCACCCACGCTGCTAAGAACCACCCTCCTCCCGCTTGAGGTCCCCCGTTCAGAGGACTCCCCAAAGAAGTCATCCCTGCCTGCAGGCTCCATTCCTCTCCAAGGCGCCTCACTGTGGTGTCTAACCTGGTCCACTCCCTTGCTCCAGCAGCAGGGGCCACAGAACACAGACACTGCACTTCCCTCCTTCCCTCTCCCAGGCACAGAGCTTCCAACACCGTCCGCACGCACGTGGACACACACAGAGACGCAGTCACAGACCCTGCAGCTCCAGGGAGGGGGTTCTGCTCTTCCAAGTCCCCTCTCGAACCCTGCCTCAGGGCCTCCCAGCTCCAGGACAGGGCTGGAGGGGGCAACCTGTCCAGAGCAGGAACGGTGACAGTCTCACACACCCAGCATGTCCAGGACTCCTATCTGAAGACGCTGTAGTGGTGAGTCCTGGGGAAGAGACTGAGCCATGAGAGACACAGAGAAAAACAGACAAAATGAGAGCGAGACAGAAAGCCAGAGTAACAAAGATAGAGAGAGACTGTGGAGGGGGGAGGGGGAGAGAGAGAGAGAGAGAGAGAGAGAGAGAGAGAGAGAGAGAGAAGACAAGACAAAGACAGAGTGAACAGAGACAGAGACAAAGAGACAGGCAGAGAGAAGACAGAGAAAAGCCACAGGGAGTCAGACCGAGAGGAGAAAAAAGACCAAGATAAAGGCAGAGACAAAGAAAAAGACCAACAAGCCCACACAGAGAACGTGGTAGATTAGATAGACACACACAGAGACTATAAAGGGAACCGGAGAATCAAAGGGGCACAGACAGACAAAAGGACACAGGAGCCAGCTTGAAGGGGCCCCCAAAGACTAAATCGGGGAAGATCTGAGCATCAAAATACATAAGACAGGAATGGCTTAGATGAACCCATTCTGATATGTGAAATAATTGGATAAATGGAAAGATGAGGAACAGGGTATTTATAAGACTCAAAGCACCTCCCCACATCATACTTGTAAATTACCAGGGGGAAATGTAACTTTTCCTGGCAGACTCCACTTCAATCAAGTGATCAAAGGTACCGGCACCAGTGGTTGTGTGCCACAGGGGGACATACAGAGAATGAGCATCGCTTCTGCCACATTCCTGCCAAAGAAACACAAGCCCAAGCTAATCACGAGGGAACATCAGCCCAGCCCAAACTGAGGGACAGTCTACCAATCCACGGCTTGGACTACTCAAAAGTGACAAGGTCGTGAAAGCGGAGGAAAGACGGGGTGGATGTCCAGACTGAAGGAGACTGAAGAGGTGCGACAGCCAAATGCAATGGCTGCTTCTGAACTGGATTCCTTCCATGCCAGGAAGGACATCATTGGCCATCTTATCAGAGGACGAGATGGTAGTCACATATCAATGTCAGTTTCCTGACTTTGATGGCTGTGTTGGGTTAGGCAGGGGAAAGTCCTTGTAGGAAAATCAGGGAAGCATTTAGGGGTGGTAGGCATCGTGTCAGCAACTTACTCTCAAATAGCTCAAGGAAAAAGAAGGTCGCCCCGGCCACATGCCAGGCGGCTCAGTCGGTTGGAATGTCGTCCTGTGCCCCAAAAAGGTTGTGGGTTTGATCCCCGGTAGAGCAACCGATCAATGTTTCTTCTCATCTCTCTCTCGCTCGCTCTCTCTCTCTCTCTCTAAGCATGTCCCCGGGTGAGGATTATAAAAATAAACATATCCTCAGATGAGAATTTTTTTAAAAGGGTCTTTGCATTGCATTTGCAACTTTTCTGAAGTTTGATATTGTCTCAAAATTTAAAGAGACAGGCAGATGGTGAGAGACAGACAGGAGCAGAGGCAAAGCCCGGGGAGAGGTGGGGAGCAGAGAGTGGAAGGGACAGGCATGGGTGCCAGGAGCCCAGCAGTGTCCTCTGGTGGCTGGGCCAGGCAGCAAGGCCTGGGTCTGAGATGCCAGAGAGCTGGGTTTTAGGAGCAGAGCTTCCAGCTTCCTCTGGGGTGGGTGAGCGTGAGGGCAGAGCACTGCTCAGCCCTGGCCTCACTCAGTGTCCCCATGCCACCAGGAAGGGCAGGAAGTCCCTGCATTCTGAGGTCTCACCAGCCCATTTTCCCATCTCAGCTCCTGGCTGGGAGCCTCCAGGAGATCTCTGTCGCAGACATTCCAGGGAGGGGGCCCAGCCCAATGTCAACTGCAGCAGCCCAGGCCTGGGGTGAGAGGAGGGGCAGGGAGGGGACTTGGGGTTCCATTTAAGGCCTGTGTGAAGAGGCAGGCTTTCAGCTACAGGTCAATCAGCTCAGCCCTACTCTGGCACCTCCAAGCCCACCCTTCCCACCCCACTAAGTCAGGCAGAACTCCCTGTTCCCAGCTTACATCCAGACTTCTCTGCCTACACCCCAAATCCAGGCCTTCCCCCAAAGCCCGGGGAAAGAGGCCTCCTCCCAAAGCCTAGCTGGGCCAGTGGAATCTCATGAAAGAGGGTCCTGGCCGCCCCGTGAACAGATGGGGAGCAGGCGGAACCTTCCATGCTGACAAGCAAACTCCGTCTTCTCTCCTGGGCCCTGGGTTTGCCTGCCCAACCCCATAAAATCTGAGTTTACAACATCTCTCCCTTCACAGGCTCAGAAAGCAGAAACAGGGTTGCAGATACACTCCCCCGCCTCCCTCACACCCCTCCCTGCAGCCCCGACAATGGCCCAGCACACTGCTGCCCCAGCCCCACCCTGTCCTGTTCTCCGGCTGATGGGATCCTAGGATGGGAGTCTAGAGACCTGTGCTCTAGGCCAACAGCCTTGAGAAGATCAGTGGCCTTCTCTGGGCCTTGTGGTCCCAAATGGAAATGGGGGGTGGGCAGAGTAGGGGAAATAGTGGGCCAGTTTGCAATGGAGGGCAGGACATGCTGACGTGTACAGAGAGTGAGATGTCTAATGAGATGCCCCTTCCATGCGGGGCTGGAGTACCCCGGGGGCAGGGCCACCCCTGGACTGTAAGGACTCTGCCAGCGCTGGCTTCCCTGGGCACAGAAGCGGTGTCTGGTGACCTTAGTGAGTCAGCCACACAGGTCTGAAGGGCTCCAGGATGATGGAGGAGAACGTCTAGGCTGGGTAAGCCTCTTATCTGCAAATACCTGAAGGGGCCGTCATTATAAGGCGGCACCTCCGTGACCTGTGAAGTTACTGAAGGCAAAACAAAGCCCAGCGGGCAGAAGCCGGAAGGAGGCATGATGAGACACGGGCTGGGGAGAACGTCCCAACAATCACATGTTGAAATCCTGACAAAAAGAAAAACAGGGGTCTGGTACCTATCCTGCCCTGGCCCAGGGCTACTCTGCAGGTACAGGCAGAGGGTGTGAGTGAGCCCCGCAAGTGCAGAGCTCCATGGCTTGTCATGGCGATGACCACCGTTTTCCTGACAAGTGGCAGACAGCCTCGCAAAGCCCTCCCAGCCGCTTCTTGCTGGATTAACCCCTAAGGGGCCTGAGGAAAGGCAGGGGCAGAGGAGGCACTGCCACACCTCCCTCCAGAGCCAGAGCCCAGACAAGGAAAGTGGTCCCAGCCCAGAAGTCCTCCTGCCCCATCCTCTAAGCCCAGAGCCCTGGCCCTGTGACAAGCCCACTCAGCATCAGAGGGCTTTCCTGGCCCTCAGGGGGTCCTCTCCCTCCCAGCCTCCACTCAGCCAAGCTGGCCTGCCAGAGGCACGTCCCAGCCAGAGGGGTGTGGCACATCTGGCTTGGACAGCCTTGGCAGGAGGCCTTGGCCCCGGGATGGGAAAGGC